ATTCTACTATGCTTTGTATACACCAAATCCATATGTTCTCTCATGTAAAATACCAAATTCAAATTTTATGTCAATCAAAACAAATCTAAATATTATTTAGGCACCCCATGTTAAAACAAAATTGCTCTGAATATAATCTGTCAGAAAAAATATACAATGCTCTATTCTACTTTGTTTCGGAGTATATACACCAAAAAAAATACGCTCTCTCATGTAAAATACAGAAATTCTAGTTTTACACGAATTGAAAAAAAATCTAAATAATATCTAGGTGCCCCAAAGTTAAAATAAAATGGCTGTGAATATAGTCTGTTGGAAAAAATATACAATGCCTTATTCTCCTTTGTTATCAAGAATATACACCAACTTATTATGCTCTCTCATGTAAAATACTGAAATTCTAATTTTACGTTAATCGAAAATAATCTAAATATTTTCTAGGCACCCCAATGTTAAAAACAATTGCGCTGAATATAATCTTTCAGAAAAAGTATACAATTCCCTATTCTACTATACACCAACTCCATATGATCTCTCATGTAAAATACAGAAATTCTATATTTAAGCGAATCCAAAAAATCTAAATATTATCTAGACACCCTAATGTGAAAAGCAAAATTGCTCTGAATATTATCTGTCATAAAAAATATAAAATGCCCTTTTCTACTCTGTTTTGTAGTATATACACCAACAAAATATGCTCTCTCATGTAAAATACAGAAATTCTAATTTTACCCGAATCAAAAAAATCTAAATATTATCTAGGCACCGCAATGTTAAAAACGAAATTGCTCTGAATATAATCTGTCACAAAAAATATACAATGCCCTATTCTACTTTGTTTTGGAGTATATACACCAACTCCATATGCTCTCTCATGTAAAATACAGAAATTCTATATTTAAGCGAATCAAAATAAATCTAAATATTATCTAGGCACACCAATGATAAAATAAAATTGCTCTGAGTAAAATCTGTCAGAAAAAATATACAATGCTTTTGTAGTATATACACCAACTCAATATGCTCTCTCATGTAAAATACCGAAATTCTAATTTTACGGAAATCGAAAAAAATCTAAATAATATCTAGGCGCCCCAAAGTTAAAAGATAATGGCTGTGAATATAGTCTGTTGGAAAAAATATAAAATGCCTTATTCTACTCTGTTTTTTAGTATATACACCAACTCAGTATTCTCTCTCATGTAAAATACCGAAATTCTAAATTTACGTGAATTGAAAAAAATCTAAATATTATCTAGGCACCCCAATATTAAAAACAAAATTGCTCTGAATATAATCTGTAAGAAGAAATATACAATGCCCTATTCTACACTGTTTTGGAGTATATACACAAACTCCATATGTTCTTCATGTAAAATACAGAAATTCCAATTTTACGTGAATCGAAAAAAAAATCTAAATATTTTCTAGGCACCCCAATGTTTAAAGCAAAATTGCTCTGAATAAAATCTGTCAGAAACTTTTCTACTCTGTTTTGTAGTATATACACTATCAAAATATGCTCTCTCATGTAAAATACAGAAATTCTAATTTTACACGAATCAAAAAAATCTAAATATTATCTAGGCACCCCAATGTTAAAAACAAAATTGCTCTGAATATAATCTGTCAGAAAAAATATACAATGCCCTATTCTACTCTGTTTTGGAATATATACACCAACTCAGTATGCTCTCTCATGTAAAATACAGAAATTCTAATTTTACGTGAATCGAAAAAAGTCTTAATATTATCTAGGCACCCCAATGTTAAAAGAAAAATTGCTCTGAATATAATCTGTCAGAGAAAATATACAATGACCTTTTCTACTCTGTTTTGTAGTATATACACCAACAAAATATGCTCTCTCATGTAAAATACCGAAATTCTAATTTTACGCAAATGGAAAAAATCTAAATAATATCTAGGCGCCTCAAGGTTAAAAGAAAATGACTCTGAATATAGTCCGTTATAGAAAGTATACAATGCCATATTCTACTCTGTTTTGGAGTATATACACCAACTCCATATTCTCTCTGATGTAAAATACAGAAAATCTATATTTAAGCGAATCGAAAAAAATCTGTATATTATTTATGCACCCCAATGTTAAAAGCAAAATTTCTCTGAATATAATCTGTCAGAGAAATATACAATGCCCTATTCTACACTCTTTTGGAGTATATACACCAACTCCATATGCTCTATCATGTAAAATACAGAAATTCTATATTTCAGCGAATCGATAAAAATCTAAATATTATCTAGGCACCACAATGTTAAAAGCAAAATTGCTCTGAATACAATCTGTCGGAAAAGATATACAATGCCCTTTTCTACTCTGTTTTGTAGTATATACACCAAATCAATATGATCTCTCATGTAAAGTACCAAAATTATAATTTTACGCAAATCGAAAAAAATATAAATAATATCTAGGCGCCACAAAGTTAACAGAAAATGACTAATATGGTCTGTCAGAGAAAATATACAATGCCTTTTTCTACTCTGTTTTGGAGTATATGCACCAACTCAGTATGCTCTCTCAGGTAAAATACAGAAATTCTAATTTTACATGAATCGAAAAAAATCTAAATATTATCTAGGCACCCCAATGTTAAAAGCAAAATTGCTTTGAATACAATCTGTCAGAGAAAATATGCAATGCCCTTTTCTACTCTGTTTTGTAGTATATGCACCAATTCAATATGCTCTCTCATGTAAAATTCCGATATTCTAATTTTATCCGAATCCAAAGAATCTAAATATTATCTAGGCACCCCAATGTTAAAAACAAAATTTCTCTGAATATAGTCTGTTAAAAAAAATATACAATGCCCTATTCTACTTCGTTTTGGAGTATATACACCAGTCAGTATGCTCTCTGTTGTAAAATTCCAAAATTCTAAATTTATGTAAATTGAAATAAATCTAAATATTATCTAGACACTACAATGTTAAAAAATATAGTCTGTCAGAAAAAATATACAATGCGCTATTCTACTCTGTTTTGGAGTATATACACCCACTCAATATGCTCTCTCATGTAAAATACCGAAATTTTTATTTTACCTGAATCAAATAAATCTAAATAATCTCTAGGCGCCACAAAGATTAAAGAAAATGGCTCTGAATATAGTCTGTTAATAAAATATACAATGCCTTATTCTACTCTGTTTTGGAGTATATACACCAATTCAGTATGCTCTCTAATGTAAAATACCGAAATTACAATTTTACGTGAATCGAAAAATATCTAAATATTATCTAGGCACCCATATGTTAAAAACAAAATTGCCCTGAATATAATCTGTCAGAAAAAATATACAATGCTTTATTCTACTCTGTTTTGGATTATATACACGAACACCATATGCTCTCTCACGTTAAATACAGAAATTCTATATTTAAGCGAATCGAAATAAATCTAAATGTTATCTAGGCATTCCATGTTAAAAGGAAAATTGCTCTGAATATAATCTGTCATAAAAAATATACAATGTTCTTTTCTACTCTTTTTTGTAGTATATACACCAACTCAATATGCTCTCTCATTTAAAATACAGAAATTCTAATTTTACGCGAATCGAAAAAAATCTAAATAATATCGAGGTGCCGCGAAGTTAAAAGAAATTGGCTGTGAATATAATCTGTTGGAAACAATATAGAATGCGTTATTCTACTATGTTTTGTAGTACATACATCAACTCAGTATGCTCTCTCATGTAAAATACCGAAATTCAAATTTTACGTGAATCGAAAAAATTCTAAGTATTATCTAGGCACCCCAATATTAAAAACAAAATTGCTCTGAATATAATCTGTCAGAAAAAATATACAATGCCCTATTCTACTCTGTTTTGGAGTATATACACCAACTCCATATGCTCTCTCACGTAAAATACAGAAATTCTATATTTAAGCGAATCAAAAAAAATCTAAATATTATTATTACAAGCAAAACTGCTCTGAATGTAATCTGTCTGAAAAAACATTCAATGCTTTTTTCTACTCTGTTTTGTAGTATATACACCAACAAAATATGCTCTCTCATGTAAAATACCGAAATTCAAATTTTACGCAAATCGAAAAAAATCTAAGTAATATCTAGGCGCCTCAAGGTTAAAAGAAAACGGCTCCGAATATATTCCGTTATAGAAAGTATACGTTGCCCTATTCCACTCTGTTTTGGAGTATATACACCTACTCAATATGCTCTCTCATGTAAAATACCGAAATTGTAAATTTACGTGAATCAAAAAAAATCTAAATATTATCTAGGCATCCCAATGTTAAAAGCAAAATTCCTCTGAATATAATCTGTCAGAGAAAATATACAATGCCTTTTTCTACTCTGTTTTGGAGTATATACACAAACTCAATATGCTCTCTCATGTAAAATACCGAAATTCTAAATTTACGTGAATCGAAAAAAATTAGGCACCCCAATTTTAAAAGCAAAATTGCTCTGAATATAATCTGTTAGAAAAAATATACAATGCCCTTTTCTGCTGTGTTTTGGGGTATATACACCAACTCAATATGCTCTCTCATTTAAAATACAAAAATTCTAATTTTACACGAATCGAAAGAAATCTAAATATTATCTAAGCACCCCAATTGTTAAAAGCAAAATGGCTCTGAATATAATCTGTCAGAAAAAATATACAATGCCCTTTTCTACTCTGTTTTTGAGTATATACACCTACTCAATATCCTCTCTCATGTAAAATACCGAAATTGTAAATTTACGTGAATCGAAAAAAATCTAAATATTATCTAGGCATCCCAATGTTAAAAGCAAAATTGCTCTGTATATAATCTGTCAGAAAAAATATACAATGCCCTTTTCTACTCTGTTTTAGAGTATATACACAAACTCAATATGCTCTTTCATTTAAAATACCCAAATCCTAACATTACTCATCTCATAAAGTGCACAAGACCCCCGTGATGTTGTTTTTTACAACTAGGGGATTACAGAGGACATTACTCACGATATGACTGCGGCTGTTTGCCGGTCCTGTGATAATGTTTCTAATATCCAGATAAGGAGAGGAGAATGTTTCTGCCCATTGGCAAATCCTCTGAATACGGCAAGAGGAGTACACCGTGCTGTGATATGGTCACTAATGTAAACAAGAAAATAATTATATTGAATTAAATATTGCAAGGTGTTAACCCCCCCTATAATTTTCCTTCTAATTTCAAGGGGGTGAGGAGGACATTTTTGTCAAAATGGCGGCGGTGTAACTACAGCTATTGCCTACTATATAATAAAAAAGGATAAAATTATTATTTACATATGATATGATTGCCAGTATCATATTACACCACATTTTCAAAATATTTGGGCCCCAGCGGCTGTGGGCCTGGCAGCCAAGCGAGGGTGTCCCTATGCAACCAGGTTGGGCTTTGCATATGGGCCCTTTGTGGTTTGTCTTGGGGCTGCTACGGGCCCTCTGGCGGTGGCTGTGGTAACAGCCACATAGCCAGAGGGTCTCTCAGCATCCAGGGAGGGCCTGGCGGCTGCTACTGACACTCTGGCAGGGGCTATGGGCACAGCCACCTAACCAGGGGGTCCCTACGTAGCCAGGGTGGAGCTGGAAGCTGCTATAGGCCCTTTGGCGGGAGCTGTGGGGATATCCTGCTCTTCACAGGTACACGGTTTGCACCTGTTTCTACATGTGTAGATCGTTTACATAATGGGCACATATTTGTACACATGTACATATGTTATTATCACAATAAACATATATGTACATAATATGTGTACAATAAATATGTACTTTATACGTACCTAATATAAAAAATATGTACTTTTTGGTGATATTATGTGATATCTACATATTATTGATTATATATCTTATTGTGATAATATGTATGTTACCACTGAAATTTTTAGAAATGTACATTTATGTACCTATGCATTGTGTACACATTATAGAAATAGGTACATATTTTACAGATGATGTACATTTTTTCTACATGTGTATTTTGTACACATATGTACAGCAGAGTAAATGTACAGACTATACCTATTTTATACATTTATTGTGATATGTCAATAAATGTACACATGAGTACATTCTGGGATATAATTTTTAGCATATTAGATAGGAATTACACCGGTGACCAAAGTGGGTTTACACCCAGGTGCGCACATAGTTTATACATGTACATGTTGTGCATATTATGTACTCATGTACAGAATGTACATGTCTACATTATATATACATAGGTGTATGCAGCATACATATGTACATACTGTGCACACATATGTACACGTGCATATATTGTACATCTGTACATAATGGGTACATGATGTACATGTGTACACATCATATCACAATAAATGTAAATATACATAATGTTTGCAATATGTACGTTTATATTATGTATTACTGTGATTATATATGCTGTTGTGATATGATATCATTGTGACATTACAAATGTACATATTATACACAACATGCACCTATGCATTGTGCACAGATTATAGAAATAAAAAGAAACATATTTTACAGGTTATGTACATTTTATTTACTTGTGTATTGGGTACACAGAGTAAATGTACAGATCTTACTTTAGACATTTATTGTGATATGCCAATAAATGTACACATTATGAGTACATTCTGTGATATTACATTTAGAATATAAGATAGAAATTACTCTGGTTACCAAAGTGGGTGTAAACTTATGTGTGCACATACTTTGTACATGTACATACTGTGCATATTACGTACTTGTGTACAGAAGGTAAATATCTACATTATATGTATGTATGGGTACATAGCGTACATATGTACATACTATGTACATATATCTACACCTGAATTTATTGTACATCCATACATAATGGGTCTATGCTGTACATGTAAACACATCGTCATACCAATGTACATAATGTGTGAAATACGTACATTTATATTATGTATTACATGTGTATTGTGATTGTATATGCTGTTCTGATATCATTGTGATATTACAAATGTACATATTGTACACATTATGAACATACCTATTGTGCACATATTATGTACACATAAATGTACACATTGTACAGATTATGTATATTTATTGTACATCTGTATGGTGCACACATATGTACATCACAGTCAACGTACATATGGTACATATTCTGTGCATTGTAATATTTCAGTAAGAGTACACATTATAAGTATATTCTGGGATATGATTTTTAGTACGTTAGATAAAAATTACTTTCAATATCAAAGTGAGTATACACTTATGTGTGTCCATTTTGTGATATTATCCATCATATCCTGAGTAGGTATTTCTCTCATTGTGAAAGCAGGTTTACACTCTCGGATTGCTCCAATATCAAGGCAAACTAAAACTCGTCTGTGATGTAGTTAATAATAAAGGATGACCATACCCTGAATTTCGCAGGAAGTGTACACCACCACTGTAGTATTGTTTCTAACGTTCAAAAACGGAAAGGATATTACTCCAAATATCTCAGAAAGCACACAAGCCCCCCGTGATATTGTTTCTAATAACTAGAGAATTACAGATGACATTACCCACGACGTGACTGGGGCTGTACTCTGGTCCTGGAATATTGTTCCTAATATCCAGAGAAGGAGAGAAAAATGTTGCTGCCCATAGGGAAATACTCTTAATACGGCAAGAGGAGTACACCATGCTTTGATATGGTCACTAATGTAAGCAAGAAAACAATTACATTGAATTAAGCATTGCAAGGAATGAAACTCCCCTATGATTTTCATTCTAATGTCAATGGGGGTGAGGATGACATTTTTGTCAATATGGCAGAGGTGTAACTGGAGCTATTGCCTAATATACAAAAAAACAGAATAAGATTATCATTTTTATATAATATGGTTGCCAATATTACACCGGATTTGCAAAATAGCTGGGCCTCAGCAGCTGTGGGCAGAGCCCACAAGCGAGGGGACCCCTAAGCAGCCAGGGTGGGCCTGGGGGCTGCTCTGGGCTTTTTGGTGGGGTCTGTGAGCACATCGACCCAGCCGGGGGTCCCTGAGCAGCCATGGTTGGCCTGGGGGCCGCTACGGGCACTCTGGCATGGGCTGTGGGCACAGACACCTAGTCAGGGGGTCCCTAAGCAGCCAGGGTGGGCATGAGGGCTGCTACAGGCATTCGAGCAGTGTTTGTGGGCACAGCCCAATTGCCAGGGGGTCTCTAAGCAGCCAGGCTGGGCCTGGGGGCTGCTATAAGGGGGGCTTTGGTAATAGCGTGCTGTGCATGGGTACATAGTTTGCACCTATTACTACATGTGTAAATAGTTTTAATATCAGGCATATATATGTACATGCGTACATATGGTGTTATCACGATAAATTTATATTTACATAATATGTGCAAAAATACATATGTACCTAATGCATACCTAATGTGTACAATATGTACTTTTTTGTAATATTAGACAATATATATTACTGTGATTATATATCTTATTGTGATTAAATATATTTTATCACTAATATTTTAAGGAATGTGCATAGTGTACATATTATATACCCATGTATTGTGTACACAATATAGAAATATACAGGTACATATTTTACACATTATGTACACTTTTTCTACATGTGTATTGTGTACACCTATGCACAGCAGAGTAAATGTACAGACTGTACCTATTTTATACATTTCTTGTGATATATCAATAAATGTACACATTATGAGTACATTCTAAAATATAATTTTTACCATATTAGAAATTACTCCATTGACCAAAGTGGGTGTACACCCAGGTGTGTACATAGTTTATACGTGTACATATTGTGCATATTAGGTACTCATGTACAAAATGTACATGTCAACATTATATGTATTTATGTGTACATAGTGTGCAAATGTACATGTTCACACATATGTACATGTGCATATTTTGTACATGTGTACATAATGGGTACATGATGTGCATGTGTACACACTGTGATACCACAATAAATGTAAATGTACACGGTGTGTGCAATATGTACATTTATATTATGTATTATTGTGTATTGTGATTTTATATGCTGTTGTGATTATATGATATCATTGTAATATTACAATAAATGTACCTATTGCACACATTTCGTACATACCTATTGTGTACACATTATGTACCTGTAATTGCACATATTGTACAGATTATGTACATTTTTGGTACATCTGTATTGTGTACACATATGTACATAACACTCTATGTACATATGGTATGTATTCTGCACATTGATTATAACATCTCAATAAGTGTACACATTATGAGTATATTGTGATATATGATTTTTAGCATATTAGATAAAAATTTCTTTCTATATCAAAGTGGGTATACACCCATGTGTGTGCATTTTTTGGTATTATCCATCATAATTACTCTCATTTTGAAAGCAAGTGTTCACTCTGTGATTGTTCCAATATCGCAGGCAAAGTACAAGGCTTCTTTAATGTACTACCTAATATCCTGGGGACAAAAGATTATTATACCCTGAAAATCGCAGGAAGTGTACACCACCACTGTAGTATCGTGTCTAATATCCAAAAATGGAAAAGATATTACTCCAAGTATCTGATAAAGCGCACAAGACCCCCGTGATATTTTTCTAATAACTAAGGGATTACAGATGACATTACTCACGATATGACTGGGGCTGTCCGCCGGTCCTGTGATATTGTTCCTAATATCCAGAGAACGAGAGAATAATGTTGCTTCCCATAGGCAAATCCTCTGAATACGGCAAGAGGAGTACACTGTGCTCTGATATGGTCACTAATGTAAACAAGAAAACAATTATATTGAATTTAACATTGCAAGGGGTGAAACCCCCTTATGATTTCAATTCTAATGTCCAGGGGTGTGGACATTTTTGTCAATATGGCAGAGGTGTAACTAGAACTATTGCCTAGTATATAAAAAACCAGAATAACATTTCCATATGATATGGTCACCAGCATCATATTACACCACATTTTCAAAATAGCCGGGCACAGCACCCTAGCCGGGGGGTCCCTAAGCAGCCAGCATCAGCCTGGGAGCTGTTACGGGCCCTCTGGCGGGGAATGTAGTTACAGCTCCCTAGTCAGGGGGTCTTTAAGCAGCCAGGGTGGGCCTTGGGGCTGCTACGAGGGGG